GGAGCGGCCGAGGGGCGGCTGCGGCCAGCGGCGCCTCCGCCTTCCTCCTCCCCCGCCGGGGCCTTCGTGCCTTGCCGTCGTTCCGGCTTCTCGGTGCTCCGCCGTCGGTACGGAAGTAGTTGTTGCCCCGGGGGCTGGGTGGACGGGCGCGGTGCCGGTCCGCCGCTGCTCGCTCGGCCGGGGCGCGCCCCCGTCCGGAGCCGGGCTGGGGGCAGGGCCCGGGCAGCCGGGGGCTGAAAGGGAAGAGGTGCCGTGCCTGCCCGCGGGATTTCCCGCTTGTTGTAACCCCGTCCTGTGCCTCTGTCACAACGTGTAATGCCGCCGGGAGACGCGGCTTTATTGCCCTTGTCACGCAGTGCCCGGGCAGTAGCTGTAGCCGTAGTAAATCACAGCATTGAGAACTGGTCTTCCTTAAGCCGCCCTGTCAGTTTCTGTGGTGAAATTGTTACGGGATCGGTCCGCGGCGCTTGCAAAACCTGCGTTAACTTTGATTGCCTTGGTCGTAAGGAACAAGAATTTATCTGGTATTTGCTCTGTTTTCTTTAGCAGACATGAAGGTCATCACTTGTGAAATAGCGTGGCATAATAAGGAGCCTGTTTACAGCTTAGACTTCCAACATGGAGCTGATGGGAAGATCAATCGACTGGCCTCAGCAGGCGTGGACACAGCCGTTCGTGTAAGTTTCAAACCTGTTTGTTTTGGTTTTGTAGCATGTGCAGAGCAGGAGATGGCTTGCTGTCTGAGCTACTGGATTATTGGCTGGTACGTGACATCCATGGTGGATGGTTTAGGGAAAGACTGTACAGCTATATACAGAATGACTGTTACCCTTGGGTACTGTCCCTGAGTTCTGCTGCTGAGTGTTGAACTGTTATTTTTGGAAAATTACCTGCATTGACTGTTGGGTGATATTCCGGAGTAGTAACTGCTAACTTACGGCACAGTCTTGTGGGTTAGTGAGAAACGACTGGTTTTAATTTCTTTATGTTCATAAAAGTTGAATTCTATTTGTCATTTTGTACGTAGTGACTCAGTAATATGGTATCTTTTTACAGCCCTTTTCATTCAGCTTGAGATGCATCTCTCCTAGGTAATTTTGTGTTGGTGCTAGCAAACTTTGTTAGTCAGTTATTCATCCTTTTTGAGAATCACTTATGAAAATGTTGCATAGCACAAGCCCAAAAGATGTGGCTGTAGGATCTACCTTTGCAAAATCAGGCAATTGTTCTTCTCAAGTCTTAATGTACGTCAGGATTGTCCCCATCGTTCAATGATCTCTTGGTTTCTCTAAAAGCCTTAGCCCTAGTTGGAAGCATTGGGAAATTGAGTGTGCTGGGTGAACTGCATTTTTTTTACCTGGATGTTAGTCAACTCCTTAAATAAAGTTAATGGCCATGTGAGGCACAATTTCCTTTGCAGAGAAATAAATTGAATTTATTTATTTATGTATTTAACAGCTTCTCAATATGGAAGGTAGACATAGTGGTCAGTTTTTCTGAGTCCCCATCTGAGTACTTAAAAAAAAGCTGGCACATTTGCTTCCCCTGTTTTTTGAAGCTGAGAGTGAAACAGTAGGTTACCCATCACTGCTGGGCTGTTCATTTAATGTTTGAGTTCCTGTAGGTCGGTTCGGTATCTGGGCCTGGTGATTTCCTGTAAAATATTTTTTTTGCTTGTTTACTAAAATCTCTACTGCTAACCTTTCAATTTGAGACAGTTCCTCAAACTCATCCTGCAATAAAGAAGGGTTCCAACCGGGGACCCTCCCTGTGCTCCTTAGTAATGAACTCCAATGCAAAGAATTCATGTAGGTTCTCTGCTACATGTGTATGTATCTGTCTGTCTAGCTGTCCTTGCATAGCATTTTACATTTTAATTATCTTTTGGGCCTGCTTATGTTCTGTCAGGCTTCCATCACTTATTTGAAGAAGAAATAAAAAATACTCTAATAAGGTTTTGCTACCTGTGCAATAGGTACAGACAAAAGTCTTTCTTTTGTATTACTGCTGCATTTTCTTCTGAATAGGGAAATCCTCTGTTTTAGCAGAGAATTTGAGTTGTAAAGATCAGATTTATACTTACATTAGGGCTGGATTGGATCCAGATTTGTTTCTCAGGATCCTCAGTGCAGTACTTTGTGAAATATGCCAATACATCTTAATGTGTTTAGTAGCAAATTATTACAAATAGTAACTGCTGTGTTATGTGCATGATTAGAATGCCGCTTTCTTCTGGAGGTGGTAAATGGGATAAATGTCATTAAAAATTAGAGTTTTATTCTAGTAGCCTCAGCCAAAACTTTTCCCTTCCTCACTGGCAAATTGACTTCTTACCTGATGGTGTATGCATTTCAGGGATTTTGGCTCTATATGTAGGTTACTGAATATATATTTAAGTCATACTTATACATTTACATATTTTAGGGCCAGAAAAATAAAAGATACTGCTGCTACATCTTCTTTAGGAGGACTGTTGCATACAGGGGGAAAACTGGCAGAAGTTACAGAGGTCTTAATTCAGGCTGCTTCATTGTTTGGTATATTCCTATCAAGGCCTGGTTGTTGGTTTGGTTTGGTTTTTCTGAACTGAGCTGCATCCAAGAACAGATTATTTGAAACACCTAATGGGATTTAGCTGTCTGTGGCCTTAGTCCCAGAATATAGGGACATAACAGTGTTGCTCTTGTGGCTGAACCAGTGCACAAGTAGAGCAGTAGGAGTGGCATTATTATGCGCTGCAAAATCAAGAACAATTGGAATCAGGAATTCCCTAAGCCAGCATGGCTGGCGAAGTATCCATATCATGCAACTGTCTTAATGCTGTGGTTATGATCAGTGAGGAACTGGAATTATTATAATTCTTGCTCAAATCATCTGTTTGAAACCACTAAATCTATTGACCTTTGGGGTATCCTGCAAAACTCTTCAATTTGTTCAGACTTCTAAAGAGAGCTAAAATGTTTTTTTCTTCTGTAGTAATCAGCTTTTTTTTCAGACTGTTACAATGTGTTTTGAGGGATTTGTTAACAAGATTCTGTAATTCCATACTATTGAATCATTGTATTTGTAGGCTTGTCAAATACCTTTGAAGCTAGAGGTTGTCGATGACTGAAGAGAGAATGAAGTTATATGGTTGTTGGTTTTTTTTTTTTTTTTTTTTTTTCATTTATTGGAAATACTTAGTTATATATTTCACCAGACTAAAAAAAATACTGCAATATAATTACAGCTTGTGGTGGGTTGAGTATGGTTGGCCACCAGGTGCCCGCCATGCTGCTCTGTCACTCCCCCTTCTCAACAGGACGGGGAGAAAATACAATGGAAAAGCTCATGGGTCAAGATAAGGATGGGGAGATCACTTAATATTTACAGTCATGGGCAAAACAGACTCAACTCAGGGAAATTAATTTCTTGCCAATTAATAATGGAGTAGGATAGTGAGAAATAAGAACAAAACTGAAAACACCTTCCCTCACCCCTCCCTTCTTCACGGGCAGAACTCCACTCCCAAATTCTCTACCTCCTCCCCCTGAGCGGCACAGGGGGATGGGGAATGAGGGTTGTGGTCAGTTCATCACACATTGTCTCTGCTGCTCCTTCCTCCTCAGGGGGAGGACTCCTCACTCTTCCCCTGCTCCAGCGTGGGGTCCCACCCATGGGAGACAGTTCTCCATGAACTTCTCCAACGTGGGTCCCTCCCAAGGGCTGCAGTCCTTCAGGTACAGACTGCTCCAGCATGGGTTCCCCCACGGGGTCACAAGTCCTGCCAGAAAACCTGCTCCAGCGTGGGCTCCTCTCTCCACAGATCCGCAGGTCCCGCCAGGAGCCTGCTTCAGCGTGGGCTTCCCATGGGGTCACAGCCTTCTTCAGGCACCCACCTGCTCCGGTGTGGGGTCCTCCCTGGGCTGCAGGTGGAGATCTGTTCCACCGTGGACCTCCCTGGGCTGCAGGGGGACAGCCTGCCTCACCATGGTCTTCCCCACGGGCTGCAGGGGAATCTCTGCTCCAGTGCCTGGAGCATCTCCTCCCCCTCCTTCTTCACTGACCTGGGGGGCTGCAGGGTTGTTTCTCCCACGTATTCTCAATCCTCTTTCCCAGCTCCTGTTGTGCAACGTTTATTACCCTTTCTTAAATATGTTATCACAGAGGTGCCACCAGCATCACTGATAGGCTTAGCTTTGGCCAGATGCAGGATGGTCTCAGAGCTGGCTGGAACTGGCTGTGTCTAACATGGGGCAGCTTCTGGTGTATTCTCACAGAAGCCACCCCTGAAGCCTCCCCCAGCTACCAAAACCTTGCCACATAAACCCAGTACACAGCTGTGGCTCATAGAGGGAAAATTTGTGGTGCAACTGCAGCTTTAGCTCTGAAAGTTTCAGATAATAAGTTCAGAATGACTGCCCAAGGAGTAAATTGTGGATTAATGAAGCGGTGCATATATATTACATCTTGTCCCTGAAAACTGTCTGTAATGCTTTTGTAACTAGATATGGAAAGTAGAAAAAGGGCCAGATGGAAAAGCAATTGTGGAATTCTTGTCCAACCTTGCTCGCCATACCAAAGCAGTAAATGTTGTGCGCTTCTCTCCAACTGGTGAGATCCTAGCATCTGGAGGAGATGGTAAGAACTGCTTTTCATGTGTCTTATGCAAGATAATTGTAATGTTGAACTAAATGTCATGCATTAACAAAACAGTGAGTGGGAAGGAAAGAATCTTCATATGATTTCTTCTACAGATGCTGTTATTTTATTGTGGAAGCTGAATGATAGCAAAGAATTGGAACCATTAGTTTTTCAGGATGAAGATGAAGCTCACCTTAACAAGGAGAACTGGACAGTCATTAAAACTTTAAGGTAGCTTAATATTTTATGAGTTTGTTTTCTGTTGTGTGTTTTTGATTCCCCAGTGGCTTTTTTCGTCTGGTACAGTCTTCTGTTCAGTGTATGTAGAACATCAATGCTCTCTAAAATTTGCTTGCTCCAATATTCATCCTTTTATTGTATTTAACTTTTTTTGCTACATTGCCAACGTACAGGTTTGGGTAAGGCAGAAGATTTGGCATTTATGTGACATAACTGATGTGCTCTGAAATTTGTTCCTGAGATTTGCAGTCACTTAAAGCTTAGGACGGAGATATATAAAGTAAATGTGAAGTTTTATTTGCTAGTTTTATAGTGGAAATTTTGGTCACTATTAAAGCAAAAAGCATCAGTGGATAAAATGATTCATGCCAGATGATGGCTGTGAGGCTCGACCAATCTTTTTCAAGTACTTCATTTTAATGGTTGAAAATCTACTGTATCGTACAGCTTTCATTTCAAGTGTACGATGATTAATAAAATATGCACATTGTGCCTGCTAAGACTAAGTAAGTATTAGCTGATAGTGGCTAAGGCATCAAACCACCACTGGCAGTTGAACTACAACAGCGTTCTCACTCTTGGATGAAATCTGAAAGAAATTAGTGGTTCTGGAGTTGGAAATGCATTTTGAGTGAGCAGTATGTATAGCTCTGCCTTGCTTTCTGTGTGTATCTGTTAAAAGTTTTAGTCTCTGTCTATACTGATAAAATTGCTTATTTTTTGTAAAAAGTGTAAATTCTTAACTCTGCTATGCATAACTGATACATTCCTTGCAACTGCTGAGGTTTGTGTGAGAACAGTTTCAAAAGTGCTAGTGGGATTCTTGAAGTACCACCATGATCCTTTAGGAACATTAGAGTTAATCTCTTAAAACAAACAAATGCATGCAATCCCCCTTCCCCTTGGTGTTGCAATTATTTATTATTAAAGTTACCACACTGTATGATAAGTCTTCAAATGACAAGCAATAAACACTTTTTGATTAAGCCCTTTCAGGTGGTTCTGAATATCTTGCAATGTTTGTTCCACTATATCTAAATCAACCTTAATTTTCTGTTTCATGTGGTTCTGCTGAATATGCATGTTTGTTTACCACTTCTATGAAACCCATAAATTGAAGGAAGGTTTTCTTTAAGAGCAGCACTTCCTAATTGCTTTGGTGTAGTGTTTTGTCTTCTGTTTGCACAAATCCTAAAATGTTTGTTTCCAGATCTCTAGGTACAAATTCATAAATGACTTCAAATGTGGGGTTTTCATTGTCTGTGAAGAAGACCTGTTGAAAAGGCAGGCTTGTTTTAAATAGAAGTAGGATGTGCTTTTTTAAAATATTCTACCACTTTCTGAATATGGAATTTTTTTTTTAAAAGCTGAAAGTCATGCTGTTCATTTTACTTCAGTGATACTTCATTTGCCTCTGATTTTTTTTTTTTAACCTAAAAATGCATAAAACTCATGGTTACATGTAGCTGTAAATTTTTAAATTAATAATTGGTTTTTTTCTCTTCTGGCTTCTAGAGGCCACCTAGAAGATGTATATGATATTTGTTGGACCTCAGATGGAAATTACATGGCATCTGCTTCTGTAGATAACACAGCTATAATGTGGGATGTCAATAAAGGTAAATGCTATGTTTATCCCTTGTGTCCCCAATCCTGGTGGAAGTGCCTCATGGTATTTACCAGAATTGTTGAAAGCATCTTCTTTTGTGATTACTAGTTTTCTGGGATTGTGAGGCAGATAGCCCAGCACATAAAGATACCCTCAAGCGGCAAAATTTACACAGAAGTAATCCCTTTACCTTGGAGTATTCAGGAAATAAACTTCACCCAATCTTTTTTCTCCCCAAACTCCTAAAGCAGCTTGTATATTACTTATTCTACACCCCAACAAAAAAAACAAACAAAACTTGACTGGTATCGGGTAACTAACTACCTAGGTAAAAAAGGGGAAGCAAGTATAGGATGCAGGCTGTTTTACAATATGTGACTTTTTTTTTAGGCTCCATTAGGCAAAACACTTCTGTTCATTCTCATCCTACTGCAGTGGGATTGCTTGTACTCTCCAATTAAAGGCCCATCTATAGAAGTTCAGATAGTAACCAGCTAAGTTATGTTGCTTTACAACAGCTTGATGTTTTCTTATTAGCAGTGTAGTCATTACTTCCACTTTTAATTTAATGTGGAAATACTTTCTCTAAAGTTAACCTTTTGTCTCACGTTTCTATTATTTAGTGTCTAATTAAGAAAAATAAAGTAGAATCCAGCTTAATTTTTCAGAGCACGCACGTGTGAAAATATGAGTGTTCTGCTGCTGACGTTTTTTGTGTTCTTTTTGGGTGCTTAATGTCTCTCCCATCCAAACTGTCACATATACTCCTTTCAAAAAGTCTTTACCATAAATACATGAATGTTCAGTTAAGAATGTGTGTGCTTAGAGCGTAAGTATGTGTAGGGGCATTGTGACCAAATGTCTCCTGCATCTCAGAGTGCTTGTAACTTCTTTAAAGGGACATATCTATTAGAATTATTACTAAAAAAAGCTGGATGGCCTCTTAAGCTGATATATGTTACTTGTGTGTAATGTCTTCCATTCTCACTGCTTTCTTTTGGCATGCAATTAATGCCATGGAGGCCATTTGGTGTCTTCTAGGCAGAGAGACAGCTAGTAAGTTGGAAGTAAGAAGCCATTACTGGAAAATGTAGGCTTTGTGATTGAAGTTGCAGGTACGTGAAAGGAAAGAGTTTCACAGATAGCTTCCAGTAATACCCAGGCTAAAAGCTCGCATGGTTTTTTAAAAAAATGGCTGGAAGAAAACTAATAATAAAAATTCATAGGGTTGTTTGGTACAAAGAGAGCATCACTGGCTTAAGTCCTTGAGTTACAAACCGTTGGCAGCTTTACTGGGTATCCTGTAGAAATACCGCTATGTGTTTGCTCTGTTCTTACACTCTTCCTTAGGCATTTGTTGCTGGCCACTGTTGGAGACAGAATATTGCACCAGAAGGACATTTGATACTATGCAGCATGGCCTCCACTCTATTTGTGTAGTCTTTTTGAAGAGCTATTGTCTTTGAAACTTGTCAGCTTATAGTATTTCTTTGCAGCAAAGCAACACTTAACTAATAGGAAAAAACCCGACCTGTCACTAGTATCCAAAACAGTATTTTGTGAGAATTATCTGTAACTTTACTTCATCACGATGCTTTGGATCCGAGATATTCAGCTGTGGAAGAATGTGAGTTAGCACTGCTGTAGAATTGTTTCTGAAAGCTACCCATGGGTAAGCGTCAGTCAGCATGTGTGTAGCGTATTTTTTTCAGTGCTTGCTCAGCAGAGTAGATGAGTTTATACAGCCCCCCAGCTGGAAGTTATTTTTTAACACGGGAATTTCTGGCTCTGTATTCAGCCAAATTCAGTTAGCTGTTGAACAGTATTCTAGACTTGCCTAAAAAGTTTTTTTTTCTAAATCACAAAGGTTTTGAAATACTTCTGTTTTGAAATATACTCATCTTGCATGTTTAATGCCTAAGCCAAGCTGCTTATCTGAGTTAATTTGTAGGGAACAAGCCTTAAACTGGCATGTCACAATTTACCGTACTTGTGAAGATTCTAGAAATAAAGCAACTATTTCTGATATTCTTATCACGTACCATCAAGTTAACAGTTTGTATGTTTAAAAAATGATTTCTCTACGTTTTGAAATGTTTTGTCTTGTTTTATTTCTGAAATGAAGAAACGTTTTAAAACACATTTGAATTTAGAATCTGAAAACTGTTTGTAATTTCAGGACAGAAGGTTTCAATATTAAATGAACACAAGAGTTATGTCCAAGGAATAACCTGGGATCCTCTAGGCCAGTACATTGCAACTCTGAGTTGTGATAGGTGAGCTGTTGGTCTAAGTGTTTTGCCTTAGTATTCTTTCTTACTTGAGGATTAATTAAAAGCAAGTGTACAGGATAAATGTGACTTTTCTTTTAGTTTTATTCAGATCATCCTGTAAGAAGGTTGATGTGAAAGTAAAATGATACTTTAGTTAGTCTTTTTCTTGTGGTGAATGATTCCTGAAGTCTGAGTGTCCTCTCTAAGCAGCAAATAAGCTTATATAAACTTTTGTAGAAATTTTTCTTCAGGAAGTAAGTTTTCATTGTATTGGTCATTAGAGATACCAAATACATCTTAAGAGAGTGCTGAGTTCTCTGGTTGTTGATGAGCTAATAAGTTCATCCTTGTTGTTTTACAGAAAGATATAAACAGGTTAAGAAATCGGTTAAAATGTTTTTCCATTGATATCTTTCTTTTGCCCTCTTGCTCCTTCCATCCCCAACAGTTTTGTAAGTGATGTCATTGGGAAAGCTAAACACACACTTCATAAACTTGGCCCTTGTCAGAACTTTGAGTGAGCTTAAACTGTTTAGGGCATGTGTGCTGCTCTGAAGGGGTTCACAGCTGGCTAATAAATGTATGTCATCTGGCACCCACTGCAAAGAAAATTACAGTGGAAAAGTAGTTTTGATTTAAGATTTGCAATAGGCTCAGAAAAATGGTAAGTTAATGGCAACTAGGTCATTATGAGCCTCTGTCTTCTGATAATCGGTTATGTGAGATTTGTGTGCTTTTTATTAAAATGAACAGCAGTGAAACACAAGTAATAGAATGATGCACAACTTTTTCTTGGAGTGAAGTTGCAAGTGAGAGCATGAACTAATCTGAAGAGGGGAAATCTCCCACCCTCTCAGGTTTCAGATGCTTTTCTGCAAGGTTAGTGAATAGCATTGGCTCAGTGGGGATCTAACAGGAGCCAGGCCAGTTGCTAGGACTGGGCACTCAACAGCCCGGGGTGGGGAGACCTATTCCCCCTTTTGGGAGACCAGCTTAACCGTGTGACATACAGAGCCAGTAGTTCCACAAATGTCTTAAGCTGTCTGCCACAGCCTCATGTTCTGTTTTCTTTTCCTAGCTCTGTCCAGGATTCTTTGTGGAGCTGTTTCAGCACATTAAATCAGCAAAAAGCTGTCTGTTTTTTGTTAGGTTGGTTTTCTGCCAGCCTAACAAACGAACATAACTTGGTGAAGGTCAGAGCTGGCAGAAGGGAGGGGGTGGTGGGATGAGCAGTTGGATTTGCTTAGGCTACCTGCTGGTTTAGTGAGATGAAGTCAGGGGAGTTCCGTTGTTCTGTGCAGAGACGTACTCCAGCTTTCATTCATTCCAAAGGAAACTGAGGCATAGAGATGTAGCTAATTGTCTTTGAGGTGAGTTCGCACTCTGCAGGTGTCACTGATGGAGTTACACACTTCACTTGTAATAGAGAAGTAGCAATATGTTTATTGATATAAAACAGTGATTAAACAAAGTTTGATAGTAAATGTGACAGTGGTTTAACAAGATCCGATGGCAAGGTTCACTTGATATTTACTGCATAGAGGACAGGGTCAGACAAAACTGTCAGGGGCACCCTCCTTTTGAGTCATGAGGTTCAGAATGGACCCGCTTGCTTTCTAAACTCCTTCTCAGAGAGGAGTCTAGGTGTGGCTGGATCCAATCCTAGTCCCAGACTTGGTCAACTGTTTATTTCTAAAGGACTATATGTGCACAATCAATCCTTTATATCACTTAGCTAAGAGTTTGAAGTTTAGCATGCTATTAATCACTTACTAAGAATCTGTTGTGGCAAGAACTCTCTCAACCTCGAGCAGTGACCTTGAGAGGGGTCGCTACTCAAGGGGAGATGCTGGCGTGCAGCCCACTGCTGTGTAGGAATGCTCAACAGGCCCTGGGCTGTCCACTAGTTATGGCGTAACATAATTGACTCAGTCATATTTGCATACAGACTACAGACATTGCTTCTTCAAGATTTGGCTTGAGTCAGACATTGACCAGCACTGTGGTTTAGGTGGGTGCATTGTTCAAATTAGCCCTTGGCTATTTTGTTGTTATGTGTCTCCCCTGAATCCACTGTGAGCTGGGATACAGCCATCACGACCACATGCAACCATTATGACTGCCACTGGTGGTTATCACTTGAGCAGGATTACAGGACATACAGGTCAGGTTGAGGAGGGAGCACACCACCACAGCAGGAGCTTACTGGCTACTACAGCACAGGTAGGAATGGTGTGGCTGTTCACTGTGCACTAATTCCCTTATTCCTCCATGAATGCATATGCTGGTACTTCACAAACCTTATTGAGTCAAATAATTGTCAAGTGACTCATTGGTTATTTAGCCATCAAAACATGTACCCCCAGTGGTGTCTCATGAACAGAGTTATAATTAATCTGTGATCTTCATTTATATTTGGCAGTCCTGACTGAGAAGTGAGGTCCTGTAGTGTTGTATGAGACTTGGGGTGAAAGGAAGTTGTTCATGGCTAACTGTGCTCTCCACCATGTAGGGTCCTGCGGGTGTACAACACGCAAACCAAGCGTGTTGCATTCAATGTTACCAAGTTGCTGTCTGGATCAGGAGCTGAAGGAGAGGTACATTGTTCTGCTACTAATGGTACTGGAGAATGTGCTGGAGAATTTTATATGAGTTGTTCTATGAAACCAAAGGAGCAAATGTTTTCCATTCAAGTAACCCATATATCAGATATTTTGTCTCCTGTTTCACCTTTGCATGTTATAAATAGACACCACTTCAGGTTTCCTCCAACATCACAGAAGTGACTAAGAAAGAACACTGCCTGCTGCTGTTGATCTCTTGCAAGTTCAGCTGTTTAAAGTAGTAACACAATGTCTTTGATTGTAAATGTTAAAAATAGTATGCATAGTGAATTCTTAATAGGAAAAACTTCAAACGTGTCTTTCAGTAGTTTATTAATGGATATGATGTAGCAATAATATTTTAAAGTCAGCAGCCTGAAATTTTCAAAAAGGTAGTCTGATTTTTAGGAAAAATATGAATTTGGGAAAATTTAGGAAATTCTCTCTAACCCTAAGAGGGAAAACAAAGAGCTTTTTTCTCCCAAACAGTTCTAAGTGATAGTAAAATAACACCCCCAAGCTGGCTATAATCTTTTTAATTCTTTCTATTCCCTTTCTTTTTTTTGTGAAAACATTTGTAACAGTTTTATAGAGACTAAAGAACAGCCCTGACAGAGGTTGTTTTGCCATTATAGAAGTTCTCTTTAAACCTCTAATACTAGAGTTAAAATTAAATGCCTAAGGAACAGGCTTTTACATTGACTGTTAAATAATGTTGTTCTCCAGGTTATTACTGGTTTTTGATTACTGGTCTAATGTGACTGCTCTTGGAGTGTTTTGATTAGTAGCTGAAGAGGGATCAAGGACTATTTTTCTTAGCTGTGAAGAATTTATAGCACAGCAGAAAGTGAGTTTGAAGGAGCCATGGTTTTTAAACCATTTATTTTAGAAGTTCCATCAGGTTGGATTGTACAAATGGATGGTTTTTCTCATCTGAATTCCAGCTGACATGTTCGTGGCACTTTACACAATTGTATTTTCAATGTTACAGGCTAGGAGCTATCGGATGTTTCATGATGACAGCATGAAGTCATTTTTCCGCAGGCTCAGTTTTACTCCTGATGGCTCCTATTTACTCACGCCAGGTATGTGAGAAGTGTACTGTAACTTACATCGTATCTATTATTCTCTACTTTGAATGTGCATCAAGGTTGCTTTCAAACTGCCATTCCTCATTCTTCCTATTGAAGGAAATAGAGACTCCACAATACTCTTCTGTTAGCAGTCCAGAAATCAACTTTCTCCTGTGATAAAAACTATATTTATGGCATTTTCTGAACTGAGACATGTAAATTGCAACAATACAGCTCTGTTAAAACAGTAAAGAAGAATAATGAGTGGTTTCTTTTGACTGGTCTCTCTTTGTTTGTATCCTTTCTTAAGAACATACTGCAGTCATAGTAAAAATAACATTGCAAGGGGGAGATCAGTTTGCCCATATAAGCACTGCTTTTATAGATGTCTGGCAACATCAAAAAGAGGCTTTGAGGGGGAAGTATATAAGGGAAACAAAAACAGCACTAAATAAATATTTGGGATGCCTTTTTAGGTTGTGTTCAGGTTGCACAGCTCTTGCCCAACTGACAAGCCTAATTCCTGAGAAGTAGAATGTTTATGGACATAAAGTAAGCCTAATTCCTGAGAAGTAGAATGTTTATGGACATAAAGTGTGTACTCAGTACCTTTTTGAGTTGATGAGTAATGTTTTAACCTTTATTTTTGCAGCTGGCTGTGTTGAATCGGGCGAAAATGTAACAAACACCACATATGTTTTCTCCAGAAACAATCTTAAAAGGTAGAGTTTAATAAGATCAAAATATCTTTTTATTAAAAAAAAAAAAAAAAGAAAGAAATGCTGTTTTCTGAAATACTGATTCTTTATAAAAGGCCCATGGGTCACCTGCCATGTCCTGGAAAGGCAACTCTTGCTGTTCGCTGCTGCCCAGTCTACTTTGAGTTGAGACGAGCATTTAATAAAGGTACTGTAAATCCTTCAGGGAGTATGATTTTACAGCAAATATGTGAAAAGGCCAATGTGGCTGTTTACTATTTTATGCCCTAGCCTTTTAACATTCCATTAAGATAGTGTTGTACCACATCTTAGAAGCTGTTTCCTGATTCTAAGACCCCGAATTCACCTTAAGTACCTTGTGAGTAGCTTTTGATATGGTGGATAAATGTTCTTACTTGGCTTCTTAGGCTACAGAAACACTGTTTAATATTTTTCTTTAACTTTTAACCATTTTGTGTGAGTAAAAGTAAATAACTTGGCTTAGCACTGAAGGAGTGGCCCAGTGAAATATTTTCTGTTAGTCTCAACTACCCACATCACAGAAGCACCAGAGAGTGGGTATAGTTTGCAACAACCATTGATGTTTATTCAAGGAAGCCATACCTGAAGCAGTGCTGGTGTTACTGGCCAGAACAGGAGTTCTGAGGTGGGGAAAGGATTGTATGAAGTTGCATAAGAACTTACCTGGAGATTGAAATCCAGCCTTAGTGTAAGCCCAGTGGGTCCAGGAGTGTTTATATTTTAGCAGGACTGGTCTTACTCTGCTGAAAAGGCAGAGCTTTGCTCCTGTCTTTAGAGGGTCGATTTGTAGTATTCCTTACAGGATTTAGAGATTACCTGTTGTTGTGTTCTGTATTTTCATCATTATCTTTAGATCCATTGTAATGGTGTGTTGCAAAGTAAGGAGATGACTGTCTGCTGTTCGTGTCTCTAGCTCCTCTAAACAGAATGTTTAGGTTCTGCCACATACACCCAGAGAAGTGAAAATCTGTGGTAGTCTAGAAATCTATAGATGTGAGGAGCTTACATTATGTTAATGTTAATGGCCTGTCTTAGTGCATAGCTTCCATAATCATCATAGAACTGAACAGGAGCTCTATATACTAGGAATTTCTGAAAGCAGCTAGCTAGCACTCAGCTTCCAGTGGAAGTTGGAATAATCTGGCCTTACAAAGAGCTAGTGTTGCAATGAAAAGACTAGCTAGGAGCCGAACCCAAGATAACACAAATAGAGCTAAATTCATTGTTTTGACTGAGTCATACAAAATATAACATGGTGGTATAAATTTGTCATGACCTTGATTTACACTATATCCTCAGGTGTGGGGTTTTTGACTTTAATACTAAAGTTCCTATAAATATGCTGAAAAATTTCAGCTGGAAAATACATGGCAAACTTTACAAAACAAAATAATAACAATCCAGATAGACAAAGCTTCTGCCAATTTCTCCCTCTTCAGCTAAGACAATACAGGGCAAACTTCAGGCAACAGAAATGTTAGTGCTTGCCATTAAACTTTACATTTTATACAAGTTCTATCTTCTCAGCCATTATCTTGATACTGATTAATAATGAAATCTTTATTTAGATTCATGACTAAGCTAGTGCAGTTACTACCTTGCAATGAATGCAAGACAGAATTCTGAATGTGTTCATTTCTTTGCATTCTAGATGAAATCAGTCAGAAATCATCTCCTGCTCTATTTAATCTGCCCTATCGATTGGTGTTTGCTGTTGCTTCAGGAGATTCTGTGCTTTTTTATGATACTGAGCAGTCCTTCCCCTTTGGTTATGTTTCTAACATCCATTATCACACCCTGAGTGACATTTCATGGTAGGTAATTGTTACATTCTTAAGATTTGTTGTGATGGGGGAAATGTCCTTTTTACACATTGAAGTTCTGAAAAACATCTTGTGTCTTACTTTATTCTTATATTTTGTTTATGATGTGCATGTGGTCACTGTCATCACAGTGTCTGAACAGCAAGCCACCTCTTTTTTGGCCTGTAAACTGGACAATCATTGTTCTTTATTAGTTGGGAAACAAGGTGCAAGCACTCTGGGGACAAGCAGATGGAAATTTTTGTGAAAGCTAATGTAGTGGGTGCCCATGAAAAGTACTCATTGTTCAGGCAGTATAACTGGCAATAATGAACTTATTTGGAGGTTTTGGAAGTCATCTGTCGGAGTTCAGGTGTCTGTATCCTGGCCAAATTCTGGTTTATCTGCACAGTTCTTGGTGGTTCTTCATGTATGGGATTAAGTAATTTATCTGATGTGATGCGGGGAGTCAGAACTGGAGCTGAAAATTGAACCCAAGTCTTCCAATCAGGATATACCCCTGTGCTTCTTCTCTCATGCTTTTCTAGCCAGTATCCCTAAGCTGAGGACCTTCAGGAGGCTGCTTTTTCAGAAGTTATAATTGATGTTCAGACACTGTGAACACCGTTGTGTGTCAGGAGGAGGGGAGTGGAAGAGAATAGAAAATCAAGTGCTTTTAATCAGTGATAGATAGACATTATTTGGTGAAATGAGCACGAAGAGCCCATTCAGGTGAGCACCACAGTGATTCTGAGCATTGCACAAGGAAGGGAGCCAAAGAGCTTGAACTGCTCTGCTAGTCTGAACGAAGAGAGCCATATTTCAGCCATATTTCAGAAACTGTGGCTGAAGAATTGTGTACCTGCAATTGAACCATGCTTTGTGCTAGCTTAAGTGCTGGCAGCAGCATATTGCAGGTCATCACAGATGACACCAGAGAGATTAAATCAAATGCGAAGGCCAGAATTGAAGATCTTTTGTTCATTTGAATTAGATGTCTTTCACTTGACTGCAGTTTTATTTAAATGTATATGTGTACCTGGGTAAGGGAGGAGGAAAAGACAGGTACAGCATGTGTTATAGATGGGGGGGTAAGGGTTGAAGGAAAGTTCTGGCCTTTACTCTTAATGGAAAAAAAAAAATCGCAAATAGGTCCAGCGATGGAGCCTTTCTTGCTATTTCTTCCATGGATGGATACTGTTCATTTGTTACCTTTGAGAAGGATGAACTGGGAATAGCACTGAAGGAGAAGCCACAGATAAATGTCAGGACTTCTGGTGCAACAGAGAAGAAAGTGAAAAAGAGCCAGTCGCACAAAGTCATTTCCCCGGGCTCTAAGCTGACAGAGGGGACTCCTCCCGGCAGGGTCACCGATCCCAGCACTCCCACCCTCCAACCTAGAACACCTACAGCTGTCGGTAAGGACTTGCCTTCCACACCTGTAAGCATAAAAAATGTTCCAGTCTCATCTTCAGATGAGAGGAAAATCAGCCAGTCAGCCAGCCAGAGCACTAAAGTAAACCAGCCCAGGAGGATTACTCTCAACACTTTACAAGCATGGAGCAAGACGCCAAGGTGAGATTTATATTGCTGTTTCCAGTCATAAATACGAAGGCCAAGACAAGCTGTGCTTGTGCTACATTTAAAGGTTGAGGTTTAGACATAAATTCCTAGCCCTGTGTCTTGGTGGTAGCTGTCTTGACATGGAACTTTTTGTTCCAGTTGTACTGCAACTGAAAGGTCAAAATGCCTCCTGAATCTTAAATGTACAGCTTTTATATTTCTGTCTGAAATGTGAGGCAGTAACAAAGTTAACCTGACCATTACGCCTGATCTGTATGGCAGCAACAGGTGTCTGTCTTCAGTTCCCATTTTCTGTACAAAGAGGGTACCTGAAGCTTTCAGCTGACAAGAACTATGTAAAGACCCTTCTGACAAGAAATATTTTAAGAATGCAAGTCTAGACAGACACTCAGTGTGCACAGTCATGGATGTGGGACTTAATGCATTGATTGAGGTTATTTCCTAAGGTGAAGATGTAGGTTTTTAGAAATTGCCCGTAATCCATGTATTGATTGTTAAACAGCCTGCAGTAGAAGATCCTGAGCTGGTGTGCGACAGTAAGGAGGCAACGATGCAAATAGAGATCTAGACCTTGTCAGCAAAACAAGGCTATTTTAGAATTAAAGGAGATTATTATAACTTCTCATAGGAATGTTTTAATTAGTAGATGGCTAGGGAGGAAGTGGTGAACAAGAAAGCAGGATTGTGGCTTTCATCAACAACCACAAAGAAAAATCTTGGGAGATGATGGCTTTCTACACACCAGTGTTCATCTCTACTGGAAGTAACAAGTCAAAGGGTTGTACGTAGTTGAAAGTGGCTTTAGCCTGGAGGGTGGGGAACTGATGCAGCTAATTAGTCTTTTTATTTTTGAGAGAAACTATTTAATCATATCAACTGATGATGCCATGAGTGTTGTCTTGGAGTAGCATGCATGGTGGTACTTGTAAGACTTTTTTTTTTTTTTTATGGTTCAATCCTCTGCCACTTTTGTGCTTAATTTTTAAGTACTGTCCAGAAGAGATTTAGCAGAACAAAATAGATTTGCAGTAATTATTAGTGGACCTCAGCAGGCAAAAGAATTCCCTAGTGTTTTATGAATCTAAAGTGTTAACATGGACAGGGCTAGGGCATAGTAAGTGCAGCCAGTCTTAATTTTAAAATTTTTGACCAAGATACTGTGCTCTGAAGGTGAATATCAAGCACTGTGCCACATATAACATATGTAAAAGTACTTTCTAGTGGAAAAGATCACTAGTGATATTTAAAGTACTTCTAAAAAATGCTTTATTTAACATATAACAAGAATAAAAAATGCATAGTAAAATATATCTAAAATAGATTTAAATTTAACTGATTCTATCTGAAGTAAATCTTTAAGTAAAGTATTTGTGGAAATGATGGCTTTAAAGCAATTGAACTGTTTCTGTTTCTGCTTTTTTAAAGGAGAGTAAACTTGATTCCACTGAAGCCAGATATGACAACCTCTGCATATACAGATACAGTTCCTATACCTCCTTCCTCAGAACAGGAACGTGGTAAGCTTTTGTGGCTATGAATAGCCAGCAAAGTCTTTTGCCAATCAGTTCTTTCCATTATAGGGTTCTGTTATAAGCTTATAACACAAGCACAATCAAGCACAAACCTAAACCTAGCTGCAGGTTTTACACCTTCTTCATTGTCTTGGTGTGTTTGAAAGGTACTTTTGACAATATGAAATGTGTGCTCACTGTGGTTGCTCTTGGGCAGCTGCTTACGTGACAATATGTCACCACAGTTTTTATAGTAATGGGTGCATTAGCTGACACTGAAACCAAGAAGAGTAAATTCCCTTGGATGTAATGTCCTCCAGGTCTTAACAGATGAGTTTAAGACCCTTATACTTTTAGCACATCATTGTTTCAGTTGCTGGACTCTCTCCAACCAGTGTTGGGGTTTTTTTTGGTGAGTGCTGAATTGTTTGTGAATTCAGCAAATGAATTTACTTTCTTAATCTGGTTTTGCTTAGCCTAAATGATTTTCCTATCTGCCTGTTTCAGAGAGGCCGTTACCATCTGATGACAGTCTTCAAAATCCTCCAGCATCGAAACGACCTAGAACTGAGGAATTGTCTCTTTCTACATCTGCTGAAAGTCAAGTCAGCTGCAATTCAAACAAATAAAGGCTGAGCTTTTAGTAGACTCTTCACAGTCTGAAGGCAATCCAGCCATATCTGAGAGTACATTTATTTTGCAAATGTTAAATCCTCAATTCCTGATTAAAGTACCGTACACATATTTGACGTAGTGCTGTGAAGAAAGAAACTGGCAGTAGAAGACACAGATTTCAGGAATGTAGCTTTGCAGAAGAGGAAATAGTTGGGAAGTGACTTCTAAGTGTGTTTCTACTTCTTGAAGACAGCATTCTTCAAGAAATGCCACAGCTTAAGGAAATCAGGAAAATCTGGGTATTAAAAAGCCATACAGTAACCTAAAAGTCTCCATCAAAGTCCCTAAGTTGATGTTTATAAAGTATTGTACCTTCCAGTAACCTGTCTGGCAAAAGAATAGAATTTCTAAGGACTTAAATGCATTCATAATGATTTAATGTGGTTTAAGACAAAAAAAAGAAGAAACCGTTTTATTCAAGTATCTTTGCTTATATGTTTAGCAGTGTGCAAAATAATTCATGCTGTCCAGTACATGTGGAATGGAAGCTGATGTTCGCATGCTCTGAATGCAGCAGCCTACAGTATGACTGATATGACTGAAACATAAATCAGAACTTGTAACTGCAAGAAACAAGAAAGCAGAAGGAAGAAACCATCTGAAGACCTGTTATAAGCATTAAACAGCAGAAGGAAGTTCTTAATTGTTTATTTTCTGTGTTTAAAGAAAAAAAGCAGACATGAGATTTTTCTGAGGTGGCAGTATTTGACCATATGCATCAGAAGTTTTCACCCATTTTTCCAAATCTTAACTCCCTTAGCCAATAAAATATAAATCCAATGTATGTTAAACTTCTATAAGTTGATTTCTTTTTAGCATTTAATACTTGTGCTAAGCATTTAGCATTTAATAATTGAACTAAGACCTGCAAATTGAAAACAATAAGTCCAAAATATTTGAAAATCACTACTCTGGATTTGCTATGGTGTGCAGACTTGGCCTGTAGAAGTAGAATGCTCAACCACAGTATTCTGAGCTCATCCACTTCATTTTGTTTAACATCATGGACTTAATTTAAAAAGTAAGATAATTCTTAAAATGTGAATAGTCGTTCTAGCTGGTGATAGCATGTAGAAGTTTTAAACAGAATTTTTTCTCATAGTTTAGGCTATTTTTCTATCATTTGAAGTTCCACAGCACACAGGAGGGGAAAGCTGCAATTCATATTAAAGCTCTTTTGACTTTCATTCTTCCCTGGATTTGGTTGTTTTTAAGGTGTGTAATTTACTTAGCATTTGTTTTCTGTCAGTTTCTAAGAAAGTGGACTAATACTTCAGAAAAGCAGAAATACAAATGTTTCAGAAGTGATTAATAAAAGTTAATAGGGAGGAAATATTAACAAATACCTATGTCAGTGTTTCAGGCAAATGAAGTGAGTTGCCTACAATTTAATTTCAACAGTAATTAATAAGCAAAGAGTTGTAGGAAACTAACTGTATCTTTGCTTTCAATCACAGAGATGAGGGTGGAGCTTTGTTAGACTTCAAAAGTGGGTTTTCTTCTAGAGAGGAATATAAAGACTTAATTACCAAGCAAAGCCACATCTAAAACTTTTTTCCCCAAAAGTTTATAGAGCTATCTGAATTGATAGCTGAAGCAGATATCTGTAACTAGCATGCATTGCCTGACTTGCTATTTTATGTTTTGTCCAGTTTGAGCTCAAAGAACATTGGTAGTTCATCTTTCTGTGGGACAGTGACCCACTTAGTACAGTACTGCAGTGTTTTGTTTTGTGCACTGCAAAGGATCCTTTGAATTCAAACTTACACTTCTAAATACTAATTGCAAAGCTATCCTGATAGGTATTTTTAAATCTTTTGTTGTTGTTGTTGTTTTTTACACAGTGTATTTCACTGTAAACTACTCTTTCTGTTGAAAACTGGTAGGTTGAGTATATTATTTTAGTGTCATTGGCATACCTGGTCTCTGTGGTCTTCAGTCTTCAGATGCAATTAATTGCCAGAGTATTCAACTTTATTTCATACCTTAACCATTCAGGTGACATCCGCATTTGTTTATGTGGTTCCTCAGCTTATTTTTGTTCTGCCTTACAATCTAATAGGAGCTGTAAAGTTAATGTGGCTTTCATAGCTGCCATTTGGAGACTATTTTCACATCATGATCTCTGTCAGAATGCTCTATCTGATATTTCATCTTCCCTAATAGGAATTTTTTCTGTTTAGTTCTAGTTGTCTCTTGCCACTATGATTTTCTGCTTCTCTTCTCTGTTGATTCTGTTACTTATACACTACTCTGTCAAATTTATACGGCACTAGCTTTTTAACCTTTTTCTATAAATGGATACCATCATTTGTATACTAAATTACCATCTTTAACACTGTGGCAGTCAGAACTGTAGATTCCTGGGTTTTGTGATTCCTCTTTCAGTCTCCAAGGGGCTATCCCCACCTAACATTCATACTTAAGAAATTGAAAACTATTCGTACACTGTTTATAGAAAGTGGGTTCATGTTTTGTCATGCACTAGACTCTGCTTCAAGACAGAACATGCCTGGTGCTGTTTCAGTTCTTTCTTGACTGCTTCATAAGGTGATGTATTGCCTAGACATAATTCTTTCAAGGGTGCACATTAGTCCAGTTTTGGCTTAAATGTTATTTTTGATTGGCCAGCTGAATTGTTCGTACTTCAAATGGACCCTGAGTTCATATTCCAGCTGTGAATGTGGTGTAGGTGCTGTCTTAGGTCACATTTTGCTCAGTGCCTTCTGTAAGGATCTTACCTGCTTTGAGGACTATTATCCTGCTTGTACTATCTTGATGAGGTAGCATTATGGAAAAATGCCCTATCTACATCTTTTGACCTCACAGCAATAAGAAGAGGGAGCTGAACTCATCGAATTAACTTCTGTAAATAGGCAGCAAATTACTGTTAAACTCAGGGAACCATGGAACTCTTCATTTCGGGTGTTCAAGCCCTGTGCCTATCAACATGTTTGGTACTAGTGTATGTCAGTGTCCCACAGGCCAATCCCGTGGAAAAAAAAACAACAAAAAAGAGCACAGTTGCACAAAGTCATTTCCCCAGGCTCTAGGCTGACGGGGGGACTGTTTGAGCAGCAGGGTTGGGTCGGATGACTTCCAGAGGTCCTGTCCAACCTCACCCGTTCTGTGATTCTGTGAATGCTGCCGCTTCCAGTTTGGCATAGTTTGAATGAGCAAGTGCTTTAACACTTAAGATGGAGAAGTTACTAGTCATGGGAGTTCGCTGATATATGTGGTCTTTATGTGCCATTTCTTTCCATCTTCCTCAGAATCACATGGATTTTGCTAAGTGCACGAAGCATAATGAAAGGTGGGGAGTGCACATATCCAATATGCCTACTGCACAAATAAAGTCTTCTGCATTATCTGATAGTGTAAATATCTGTGTGGACTATATGTCTTGGAGAGTTCAAGTTACAGGCAAGTGATCCTTTCCCTTTTTCAGACTGGTTTTCTTGCATGTCTTACATGTACTTCTCTGGCTTGATAGTAGACCTTTTAAAATGTCATCTTTATGTCCTAGTTCTGCGTACTTTCATATTTAAGTATGTGTCTGTATATACGTGTAATAATTTTTCCATGTCAGAAAACCAGTTTGTTCGTTACCTTAAGCCATGTGCCTTTTTTCATAAGTTCAGTGAAGGGCTGGAAAAGCCAGGCTACAGAAGCACAAAGCATGAGACTTCTGGGTAAATACAAAGTGCAGAACGACCGCTGGATGTCACTCTTCTGATAGGATTCCTCCTCCCGGGGCTATGGGGAAAAAATGCTACTAGTGGCAGCAAGGAGAAAGAAAACACTTTTCTTTTTAAATAAAAGCTGTAGGTCAATCTATATAACAAATGTATGTTATCGCAAAATAAATTGTTTCTATTGTTTCTACAAGCTTCCTTCTAAGAAGACAGGGTTTGCTTTCTTATGAATTACATTTTATAATTGACTATGGAAAGTAAGTCCATACCATGATAGCATTTCTCTGTTGGGAGATGGAAAATGATAAACCTGAAATGCCACATACAGCCTGAAACTTTCCAAGAATGTCTTAAGCATCATTTCTGTTGAAAAGCTCTTTGAAGAGGTAATGGGAGGGATCTGGAAGGCATGTGGACCATCTGGTTAGTATAGGGTCCAGCCAGCTTTCATTTGTCTTGACACAAGTTACCAAATTGTGATACACAGATTGCTACAAGTACACAAAGTATTTCAGCATCCAGGACCTGCTGCTGCCACCACCAGTGCTAGCACCTACAGCTCTGGGTGGGAGTTGGTGAAAAAAGAGAAAAATGTTTGCATGCCCCACCCATAAGTCAAAAAGCATTTAATCATGTGTGTCCATATAACAATACCGTCTTATCTGTCCTAATCTGTTTTAAAAGGGTGTACTGCCATGTTATTTGTCTTCCAGCCCGTTAAAAGGAAATGAGAAACACGAGGGCAGAGTCACACAAAGCTGCTGGAGCCTAGGAGAAAGTGGCCATGGTGGGTGGCAGGTCTAAGGGTAGTATGTAAGCAATCCTCATGCATGATATGTGTTCTGTGTGCAAGAGCAAGAAGTCATACAACTCCTTACTTAAGTGTCTTCTTTTACTCCTGGTTAGAAAGGGACTTCTTGCTGCTTCCACCATGTGTCAGGCTAGTGCTGCTCAGTCAATGATAGGTCTTTTCCATTGTTGAGTTACTGCTAGTTAAAATCAGGATCTCTTGCTCCTCAACAAAAACATATGCAGACATACCACCTTAAAAACCAAATACTTCTGTGAGCCACTGAACTAGTAAGGCCTTGTTTCAGATGGATATATAGCTAATTGCACTAGGGGTTTCAAACAGATCTTGCAACTTTTTAGATGGGGAAGGATTCACGACTGTGTTGCTCCTGGAAAGACTTTCTGGCATGTAATAAAGGTTAATTTTTAGACAGCTAGAAATCATGCTCATGTGCTATTGATGTTAGCTTTAATTTTTCTTCTATCCAGCTACCCGTATTAATACATATTGTAATTATTTAACCACTGCCTTTTTGTCAAAATTTGGTTGGTACTTGCCTATGGATTCAAAACAGAATCTCTGTACTGTGTGTGCACATTCTCCATGTTTACATAAGCATCATTTCTTATAAAAGAAAACAGGCTTACCAAGTAACTATATTGTATGTGTGTTTTCTGCTATAGCAGTTGCAGGATCATGAAGAAGCAGCAGATTGGAGTTGCATGATAAAGTATGGTATCACAAGTTACATGATATCTACATGAAACCTATCTACTTTTCACACCGCTCTTTTCTTCGTGCTACTATAAATTATTTTTCTGTTGCAGTTCAAAGGCTGTACATCATTGCTACA